ATTTTATAATTTTTTGTTTATTTGATAAGATTGAATAAACAATTGGGGCTATTTTAATAGTTTTACAACTTATGAGATTTTTATGTTTATGAGAAAATATACAACACAAAAATTTCATATCGCATGTCCAAACAAACCTTCAATTTCATCTCATGATTCCATATCATGATACCATATCGCATGGCCAAACGGGCCCTAAGAGTAATTGTATTGTAAAATTATCATTTTACTTATTACTTTCTTAAATGATGTGTTAAATTAAATATAAACTAGTAAACATGAACAAAGGAAGTATTAAGTATATTTTTTTGGTGAAATTTGGTTTCGTGTTAGAGTTCAATTAAATATGAATTCACGACGGATTGCGATCGTTGAATTGAGTAGCTAAATTTGTCCTTTGTTCTTTTCATTGTTCAATTAAATATGAATTCACGACGGATTGCGATCGTCGAATTGAGTAGCTAAATTTGTCCTTTGTTCTTTTCATTTCCATCTTTTTTCCTACACACTTCTACATTTCCAAAAATACCCCTTCACTTTCCCTTTATAACACTCTACTTTCTCTACATTTTTCCCAATCCCCTTCTTCCCCAACAATACAGGGGAAAAAAAATATCAACCTATCATGGCAGCTCACAGCTCAACTCTCACCATATCCCTACTTCTCATGCTTATCTTCTCCACCTTATCCTCCGCTTCCGACATGTCAATTATTAGCTACGACGAGACTCATATTCACCATCGTACCGACGATGAAGTCTCGGCGTTGTACGAGTCCTGGCTAATCGAGCACGGAAAATCGTACAACGCCTTAGGAGAAAAGGATAAGAGATTCCAGATCTTCAAGGATAACTTGAAATATATAGACGAACAGAACTCTGTTCCGAATCAGAGTTATAAGCTCGGATTGACGAAATTCGCCGATCTGACTACTGAGGAGTACAGGTCGATTTACTTGGGTACGAAGAGTTCCGGTGACCGGAGGAGGTTGTCGAAGAACAAAAGTGATCGGTATCTTCCTAAAGTTGGGGATAGCTTGCCGGAATCAGTAGACTGGAGAGATAAAGGTGTGCTTGTTGGTGTTAAGGATCAAGGAAGCTGTGGTAAGTTAATTTTGCTACTACTATTTGGTTATAGATCTAAATTTATCAAATATCCAAGCATAATATATAGTGCGTATACGATAATAACATACTCAGTTTAATCTATAAGTGGGTATAAAATAGTGACATATATACTTAAAATTAAATTTGAATTTGAAAACTCAAGATGAATTTTGAACCTCCTGATCCATGAGTCAACTCATAATTTTTTTATGGAGTCAGATGAACACGGTCTATTCTCTAGATCTATTTTTGATATATAGAGAGTTTAAGGGTAGTTTGATTACTATATAAGAGACATCTTCTTCAAGTATAAAAAGTTGCATTAGCTTTATATTATGTTTGGTAGAAGTTTTGTATTAGGTATAAAAGTCAACATAACTTATATCATGTTTGGTTGGTAAGAATTTAAATGTTGTATAAAAGTTATTCATATATTAATTTATTCGGTGTTTGGTTGCATTTTTTGTAGTCCTACATAATTAATACCCACATAACGTATGAGGGAATCTATGTATAAAGTTATGCAGGGTAGAAGGTGGAATAAGTTATGTGAGAATTAGTTATACATGTATTAAAATGATAAATTACATATTTATCCTATTAATTTTTTTTTTTTTAATTGGAAACTTTACTGTTTTCCTATATACGTTTGTTGTTTTTATTTCTTTTTATATATAGGCCATTTTCATTTCTTTTAATTTATTTTGTTTTTTTTAATTGAAAACTTTACTGCTTTCCTATCTACGTTTGTTGTTTTTATTTCTTTTTATAGATAGACCATTTTCATTTCTTTTTATATACTTGCCGTTTTTATTTATTTATGCAAATATAAATATTTTTTTAATATTATAAATTTGATTGAATATTTTTTGACGGTACATATGCTAATCAAATATTAGCATTATATATTATTCAATATATTCCACATTTTTATTAGCATGTATTATTATTTTGTAAATATTATATATTAATAATTTACAACAAGTTTAATATTCAATAGTTAATAATTCATGTATTGTTATCTCTACATAGCTAAATAATACCTACATAACTAATATCCGCATACCTAATACCCGCATAACTAAACCCTGCATAACTAAACTCTGCATAACTAATACCTGCATAACTAAACCCTGCATAGCTAATACATGTATAACTAAATCCTGCATAACTAAATCCTTCATAGCTAATACATGCATAACCAAACCTTGCATAACTAATACCTACATAATTCAAACCAGTAACCAAACGTCCCCTTAGAGAATACATAAATCTTAGTCCTACAGGGATATCGAAAAATAAATAATAGAATTGAAGAAACTATATTTGATAGATGTTTGCTCAAGAAAGGACATATCAAAGCAGATCGAAAAAAAATAATAGATTTGACGAAATTATAGCAAAATATTATATAGATAACATGATAAAATATCCTGAAAAGAAACACTGACTACAACAAAATTCCGTGATAATTGAACAATTATGGAAGCACAAAGAGACGGTAATAACAATCGAAGAGCAAGATTATAGGAGGAAAATATTACAATTACCTGTATTATGGAAAACTAAACAACGCAACAGTTAACTACATATTAATCACTTTACTACCAAATAAATGAATTAAGCATCTATCTTTGCCAACATGAGTTATAGTATAGTGGTGGGAGAGATCATGCACTATTCAAATTTAGTCAGAGCTTCAATATAATCTCCAAACACCTGGGTGAAAACCAAAAAAAAAAATCATCTACCTTTACTCAACTTATTTAACTTGTTCACAATAAGTTAAAGTATTATAATAATAGCATAACAATTATTTACAAGAAAGTCAAATCAAATAAATAATTAGGGCTCGTTTGGTGTGAGGGATTAGAAATAATAGTGATGGGATAAGGAAATAGTGATGGGATAAAAAAAAAATTATGTTGTTTGGTTGGCAAGTCCGGGATAACTTATCCCGGGATTAATAATTAGTACCGGGATAAGTTATCCCTCCCCATGGGTGGTATAGTAATCCCGGGATAACTTATCCCGAGATAAAATAGGTAAATGACAAATATGTCCCTTTAAATCCTTTTTATACATCATTTTTAACATTTATGTATATTTACATTTTTTTTAATACCATGTATAATAATATTTACTACTCCTTATTTTTATGAT